TATTGCAGAGCTTGTCCCTTAACTTCTTGCGATTCCGTTGCCTGATTTCATTTCCGCAAGTCTCCAGTGCAACTTCCGCTCCTCTTTGCAGTTTTTTTTTATTTGGCAAGTTCCCCCTCATTTGTCGCATTTGAACAATTTTCATTGCTCGCTTTTCGGCGGCGTAAAATAAATAGTTTTCCCCCCATGCCCTTTTTCTTTTCTGGTTTTTATTTTTGTCTTTTCCTCTGCTGCTTGTTGTGTAATTTATTAAATGGCAGTTGAGTGAAAGAGGTGGAAAACTCCCTGGTGAAGTTACAGGGCATTTTGTCAATGGCTGGGAATTTTTATATTGCCATCGAATTTTGGCCAAAAGTATTTCACCAATATTGGCAAGATAGAGATACCAGGACGAGACTCAGACTCAGACAATTGTTTGCCAATATTTTAGCCGAATTGGGAAGTTAGAGGCGGGAAGTTTCCAGGGGGTGGAAATGAGATTGGGTCGGTATGAGAATGAATTTCCTTTTCGACATCTGCCAGAACGGAACCCAGAATACTTTCTTCGTCTGTCGTCGCAGTCTGGCTCGTTCAACTTCCGCTGCTTTCTCATGACCGTGAAAGTGTTGGCCCTGGCCCTAGCCCTGGCCCAAACACAAAAGTCGGCTTTTGGCCCGACTTGGTCCACAACCATTCGCTTCGCTGGCCATTGTTGCATTCACAGATACACTCGCACACACTACGAATCCGAAGAAGCCGCATATAATATGAGTTCAGCGGGCTTAAAGTCGCGACTGTTTGCCCAGCATAACGAGATCCCTTTAGGAAGCCAAAATCAAACAAATCCCCACACACAAGCTCAAAAATCTGAAGTTACACGCGAAGAAATACATTTCATTGCATGTTTTACTTGTTTAAATGCGTTTAAATAATTGTTTGGCTATTTACTTTAAGGAATGGCCATTAAATTTAAGTCAAATAATACGTTGCATGAATAAATTTATAATAATTTGGACCACTGCTCTTTAGAACTCTGCCATTCAAAAACTATTTTAGAATCGACCTTGCCGCTTTTATAGGACATTTTTGAAATTGTAAACTATCAAAAAGGCAAAAAAAAAAAATTGATTAAAAAAAAATGTACACTGGTAAGGCCTCTTTATGGATTTGGTTAACTTACTTTACAAATAAATGTTTTTAAGTCTGAGTTACACCAAATCGGATGAATATAGAAATGCTGCCAAAAGAACATGAAACTGCGCAATTTATTTGATCTTTTATCATTTGGGGATCAAGAAAATCTCATGAAGAATATATCTGAGTGTATTTAAAGGCAAAACAGAAGCCCTGGCAGCATCAACCCTCGGCTTAGATTTCCACCCAAACCACTGTGCGCCACTCAAAATTGCAGCCAGGCTACTCAGAAGTCGATTCTGGTTCTGGGCACGGTTATTTATTTTTTATTCGGGGTTGCTATCTACTGCCCTCACTGCACCCTGCAAGAATTTCAGACTTATCCAACATAAAGCTATTAGATATCCCTGCATGTCCATGTTTTTGTGTCGGTGGGTGTGTGTGTGTGTGTGTGTGTGCTTTTTTTTATGTATTTTGGTAATTCTGTAAACAAATGAGTGGGATCTGGGCAGATAGCTATAATATTCGAACTGGGGAAGCTCAAGGCTAACTTAATAAGTATCGCATTAGAGCGGAAGTGTGGGGATGGCAAAATGGTCGTATTTTTCTTTGACGCGTTCAATTTAAGTTTAATAATGTTAAAGAAGAAATGTGTTTATGTTTTATTGCGTTTATTTATGGAGTTTTCTCAAAGTTGTGAACATATTATTTAAGGCACTTTTAAAGGACTACTATATTTTTCATTTGTAAATGTTGGAATCTTTTTTACTTTACCACAAAGTGTAGTAAAATCAGTTGTCATCAATTCGACAACTATGCTTTCAGTTTAATAATCTTTTTCATTTAGCAACGCAGTTCATTGACTTTAAATAATGTAAGTCTAAGTGCATAAAAAAAAGTTTTGGGCATTCGAAATTCAGTCGTAAAACGGGTAAATAAGTATCATTAGGTTTCTAAATTCAGCATGCATTCGGCCAACATTTAACTCCCTCCTTAACTCGACCACTTTGAAATAGTTTGGGTCCCGGGCGACCGAATAAAAAGTGAAAAGGGACCCCAACGCTGGCGTAATAAGCAATACTTAAGACCTAATGCAGGGTATAAAATATGCGCAGCATTCGCAGTCACCTCGCTCCACGCCTCCTCGCATTTTCCAGGATACCCAGGACACAAGGGTTGCCCTGTGTTCACGGTCGTCCTTTTTGGTTGGGGAAAAACCCTGAAAACGGTCGCCTGCAGTGCGCGTTTCTTTTGCCGCTGCTGTGATTTTTGATTTAAGCATAATTTTGCAACAATTTCGCTGGGTTCTTTGGGGCTGCCCGCTGTGAGATCTGAAAAATTTCAAACATTTCTTCAAGGGATTTGCGCAATTTTCCATTTTTTTTCCTGCCCAAGTTTGTGTGTGTGTGTATGTGTGTGTGTCTGTGTGTTTGCCCTGCCTGCCATCATCTGTCTGCTGGGGATGCTGCCTTATTTTTTTTGCTTGCTGTTCAAGGCTCCCCCTCTATATTACTCGCATTTAAATGGTTGGCAAATAAACAGGCGAACATTTTGCATTTCCATTTCATTGCGTTTGTCTTAAGACCTCTCTCTGTCTGAATGTCTGCGGCAGCTTCTTGGTTCTATTTCCTGCTGCCATTGTCAACTCGGCGTATGATTAATGCGTCAAAGAAGGGACAGCTGAAACCGAACCTCTGAACCCCTGAAACATGATCTCTATTCTACTCCAACTCACTCACGCCCACAGTCCAGTCAACCCAGCCCAACCCGTTTAATAAATGACATCAAAAATTAAAATTCGCCGCCGCCGGAGCGTAATTCAAATTTACTAAAGCAATAGGAAGATATGCATCTGGGATGTATATCAAAAAGGTGAACCAGGCAACCTAATTTGACACTTGCCGGCACTCGAGCAAGTTTCACTTCTTTTCCAAGGACACAAAAACAAAAAAAAAAAGGAGCAAAAAAAGGCACAGGAATCCGTGGCGTTGTTAGTGGTGACGAGTCAAGTCTAATGAAAGGGGTGCTCAGTCGGTGCGCGGAAAACCACTCGACTCGACTTTTTTCCAAAGCCAAAAACACGCTTCGGTGGTTCCATCCTCTAATGAAGGGATTTATCAAGCATTTTAAATTAAACGGGTCCAGCAGTGCGAATATCAGGGCACTTTAATGAGATCCCAGAAGCCGGAATAACTCATTTATTTAAGGGGGTAGAATTATTCAGTCTATGTTTTAATCTAAATCAAATTTTCAAATTCTCTTTTCATAAAGTAATAATAATAAGCGATAAGTTTGCAAACGAAGGAACCACTTTTTTCACCGAAAAAATGTCGAGTTAATGAGACTTTGAGTTTTACAAAATAAATTAACTTGTTTTTTTAGATTCTATTAAGTTAAAGTTTAGCAAAAAAATAATTTCATTCACTATTAAAGTCATTTAAAATTTGTTTTATTTTTAAGTTAACGTTAATTTGTATTTAAATTAGTATTTTACTCAAGAAATTCTTATCTGCGCAAAAAGATAAATTGCAAGTCAAAAACATGAGAAAACATTCAGAATTTTTTATTTTATTTATTATTGGTTCTAGGGTATTTGCTATGGTTCATCCTCGATTATTGCCATCCTATCTCTTATCTATTTTCGAATAAATTAGAATTCCATAAGCATTGGCTTTGGGATCAATTGTGGGCATCGCTAACAGTTGGCAAACATCGTCATCATCATTTCCATTTTGACAGAGGGTGACATGCACACTCATCTACGATATAAACCCCCAAATAACATCCGCCTGCTGAAAAGTATGCTACACAACACTCTCGCCCACACTCACTGGAATAAAGAGGCGAAGTAACTTCAAAGCCAGCCCTTGGCAATTTTCAATTAAAAACGCCTACAACGCGACTGCTTTCGCATGCCTCTGCTGCCATAGAATTTTTGTGTTTTTGTTTCGCTTTGTTTGCCCTGCAAACTCTGCCTGCGGGAAAATGCCGCTTCTGCCGCTCCTACCCCTCCACCTCCACTGGATTTTCCGGCCGCTCTTTGGCACAGCTTTAATGTTGAGCTCCGAGCCATTCTAGAAAAATATCACGACATGGAATTGCACTCGCACTGATGGAGATTACAGAAATATGGCCAGAGGCAATGTGTCAAGTGTCGGAGATTCGTCTGCCAGCCCTGCTTTTCCATTCGCGGAGCACGCTTCTTGGTGCCCCTAAACTTGGTCAAGTGTGGGCTTCTGTGTGTCCCAGCAGCTGCTCAGGAAGTTCTCCCCCACTTGGCCCTCTTTTCTGGCAGTTCTAAGTTCTAAGGTTGTACATTAGCCAAGAAAGAAACTACATGCTGTGTGAAAAAGGCTTAACAAATTGAAACCCTGGAAAATTAATGTTATCTGTGTGTTAGACATTGAGAATTGTAAGTTCCAGATATAGATTCTACTAAGAAGGAAATGCTCCTATTTTATGTGAAGAAATTTCCAATGCTTATTGTTTTTCTGCTGATTAGGATGCATAAATAAACATCGAAGTTTTTAATTTGAAAAATAATTAATATTTGGACGACATTAAGTGCTTTTGGTTATTATTTTTATTTAAATCTTTACTAAAAGTGTTTGGAGACATATTTTAGAAACCCGGGTCAGAGCAATAATAATAAATAGGGACGAAATTAGACAAGAGTGTACAGAAACACAACTACGTGTTAGATGTAGATGCCTATTTAATGATTTTTGCTATTTGTAGACCAAATTTTTAAAATATCTTTGGCACTCTTTGCCTTAAATTAAAACACTTTCAATTAAGCTTACCTGTACTTGATTTAACTTTGAGGTGCAGTAGTGTACAGTTTGATATATAGGTACTAATCCATACCCATCCTTGTCCACTTGCAGTCGCGCACATCCTTGGTGTCGAGCTCGGAGGGTGGCATCCTGGCCGAGGGCGAGACGTCCAGCGAGGACGACGAGGAGGAGCCCGTGGAGGCGGAGGACGAGGACGATGGCGAGGAGAGCAGTCGCGATTCCAGCGACAACTCGCCGCCCTGCGACCTGGGACTCATGGAGCGCCTCCTGCTGACCCATCCGATGTGGTTCCTGCCGGGCATCCAGCGATCCGGGGCCGTTCATCTGCTCCAGGGCAAGGAGGAGGGGGTGAGTTGTCCTTCCTGGCGATAATTATTAATTTATTGATTTAGCTTAATAAGGCAATTTGGTAAATCGCAAATGGACGGTAAAGGGTAGGGGACGGTAAATTAACAAACACATGTGACCACACAAATTTGCACAACAATGAGAGCAGGCAAACAAAAAAAATAAATAAATAAATAAAAAAGGACAGGACAGGACAGAAGGATTCATACATTTGCTGCAAAATTTACATATACAAATTGCAATCAATTAACGACCAGCGGGTCCTGCGATTTCCTGTGATGTCCTGCGTAGCCAGCAAAAACACCAAAACATACACACACACACACACACGGCTAGAAGGTGGCAGGGGAAGATTCATTAATATTACGACAGGACAACAATGCCAAGCCCTTTTAATTGTAAATGTATAAAGATAAACAAAGAAATGTAGTCAGGACCAGGACGCCGAGAACGAGCACGAGAACGAGGACTAGAATCAGGACTCTGCTGCGTTTGCAAATTCATTGAAATTTATCTGACTCGAGCAGCAAAAGGCAGACAATGGGTATGAAGAACGGGAGGAACGGTAGAAGAACCATGTAGTATGAGAAACGAGCACCCATTCACAAAAGGCGACAAAAACAAAAGCCCAGCCAGAAAGCAAGCAAGCCAGCAATGGTCAGCAGGCAGGGATTGATAAAAAGGACCAGGAGCTGGACTATAGATGGCCCAGGACCTCTAGTCTACACTGAAGGAAAAAACAACATCTTAAGTTAGGACTATGTTTCCGGACTTCGGGCCGATTTCTCAATATAAAGTTAGAACTATTTTGTATAACTATAGAACTATTTTGCATAAAATATCGCTTTGATGGCGATATTTCATTATTATCTGTACTACAACAAAATAAGGCAAAAGAAATCTAAATAGTTCTAACTTTTCTCAGTGTAGGCAGAGTGTGCTGACCATTTTGCGATTCAAAGCTCTATGCATAGACAATTGAAATTACGGGAACCGGGTGGAACTGGCAGATAAAACAGAACAGGTAATGGCTGAAGAAGAAAGGGAACTCCTTGGGTTTTGGGGAATAGAATGGAATGGCCAACAAATTGTACAGATTCAATAAGGTAAAGTCTCCCCGACTTGAGCTTGGAGACTGGAGCAGCAATTATCACGTGTTCGCCGGTTGGCAGGAAACTCATTAAAGTCCCAATACGTTTACCCCCTTTATTTTTAGTTGTAATCATTCAATCAGAATATTAAACCAATGCTTTCCAACGAACATTTTTCCATTACCAACTTTATGCGAACGTATTTGCAATTTAGCTTGGAGGGAATGATGAATGGAATTGTGGAGAAGTTACCATTTCAAATTAATTGGTACATGTTTTGAATTACCAAATGAAAAGAGTTGAAAACTCAAAAAGAGGAAAATTGGAAAGTATTTAAAATTTAATACTTTTTAAAAGCATGTCCATTGTTCATTGTTCTGCTAACGTTCGCTATAGTCGGGGCATCTCCGAACTGCACAAGAAAATCGGAAACGGCACGCGCACTCTTTATTTGAATGGATATATGTATATTCTCTGGTTCCCTCGGTTTTTGCTGCTAGCTTAGCAATTTTCAATCGTCGAACGCGCCGTAACAATAGCTCATTGATTGCAACGTCGGCCCGTTTGCCTCTTGCAAGACCACTTCAGTTCACCAGCACTGAGAAAAGATGGAAGTAACTTGTTAAGATATTAAATATTTATGTTCTGCATAAATACTTAGCGTATATTGTGGGCCAGAAAAGAAAAGCACACATTTTTTTAAATTAATTAATTTGTATTTGTATTCTTAGTAGGCCTTCAATCATAAGCTTATGAAATTCAAAAGCCATACAACATTTAATGGCTTATCGATTTTTATAGAAATTCTAATTTAGGAAGGCTTTCGATTAGAGTAAGCGTAAGGCTTTAATCAGAATAAGCTTTTAAAAAAATGGCTAAATAAAAATATTCCAATTGATTCCAAACCCAAAATCATTAAAATATTAAAATGTATTCCAAACCTAAGAATTGTTTGTGTGGGTTGTTATTTTGTTGATTTTCTTAAGCATATTTAAGGATTTAAGATTTCTGCGGCACATTTAAACATATTTATATAACATTTCTAAACCACTTTTCTGATATAAAATTGAAGTAGAAATTGCAAATTAGAAACCAAAGGTTAACCCCTTTAATTTCACAGTGCCTTAGAGTTTGTGGGGTTGTGAAAAGTTTTTCGCCAACTTTTGTATTTTGCTGCTTGCTCTTTCAGTGCGTTGTCGTGCCTCGGAAACTGTCTGCAGTTCCACCTGCCACGACTGCCGTCCTTTTTTTTCCGTTTTACCCCATTGGATGCTCCTTTTCCATCCATTGCTAATTGCATGCGTCAACAGGAGCAAAAGCATCGGCATTGGTATCGGTTCTGCCTCAATTATACTGGTGAACGCTTCGGAAAAGTCCTTAAATCCCCATTAGGATGCAGGACGCACTCCTTCCTCGCCATTGTTTATGCGTTTAATAAAAAGCCATTTAATTGAAATTGAAGTAGCACCCCGCCGTCCACTTTCGTTCGTCCGTTCGTTCGAATTCGCTCGCTTTATGTGTAGTTTGTAATTAAAAATCAATCAATATGTTCGAACTGGACACACACACATTCACAGTGCATTGTGATTGTGGCGTTATATGGGGCTGAAAACGAGTGTTGCGATCCATTTGCCTGCCTGGTATTTTAATTACTTGTTGTTCGGCCTCCCATTCGAACCGTATCGAACCGAAGTTGAACAGATTTTTTCCAACTTTGTTTGCACATCTCTACCGATTCTTTCCGGATACCTTTTACATCCGACTGTGCCCCGCCATCAATCATAAATACGCGTGGAGTCTGGGGCGTGGTCACATGTGCGTATGTCTCGCATTTCCATTTCCCCCAGTTCATCTATACATATATTTTTTTTTTTTTTGTTGCCCCTTCTTGGCCACGGGATTTGTTATGCCGACCACAGAATGTAATTAGCAGCAAATGTCGATGCTTTATGGACCAAACGATGACCATGGATTGGTAGTGGCAGTGGGGTGATTGGTCAACAGCTGGGGCAGCCATTTAATGTCTGGGTAATCGGCTGCAGAGGGAGTTCGATTGGGTGGAGTCGCGACATCATTAGCGCTCGTCACCTGTACGGTGAGCAATGGATATTTGATGACCCCCCAGTTTCTGGGTTTAAGATACTATTGATTAATTTCGATTACTCAATGAGTAAGAACAGAATAGTCGAATAAGATAATAAGTAAAGTATTGCACATTCATTAAAGTCGTTAAGGATTTTAACACAAATTTAAATAACTAGATTAATCAAACTTATATAGATATTTCGACTTGCTTTAGCTTTTATAGTTCGTGAAATCATTTTAAAACAAAGAAATCACTAAGGTTTTAAAAAAAAACTTATAGAATTGTCTAAAAGTATGCTGTGAAAATTTTAACGTCTTTTATTGACTAAATCAATCAGATTTCTGGACTGAAAATATATTGTTGCATACTTTCAGACACTTTTATAAATAATTATAAAAGCCTTACCTTTTCTTTGGCATCCCGGACTATTTTATTTCAACTATTTTGTTTATTGGAGTAACACATTTGATTACTTATTTAACTCCTCTCTGCAAAAGTTAAGCGCATTTTAAGTGAACAATCCATTTTGCAAACCAAACTAAGCTTCCACTTTTGACAGCTGGAATCTTAAATTGCATTGCCGCCCACAAAAAGTGTGCAATACATTTGAAATTCTCTCTGCATTCATAGCACTCGATTCATTCATTCATTACGCATTTTTGTTTTTGTTTTGGTTTTTGTTTTATTTTTGATTTGCTTTGCATTCTACCGATATGAGTTTGATTTGGGAAAAACACACATATCCTTTGATCCCCGAAACGAATCCTGCACTTGTTTTGCCATGCTCTTGAACTATTTTTTGGCTGCTTTATTGACGCCTTGCTTTTGATTTATGAATCCATGGCCGTATGGGCCGAAATGAACATGTTAAGCTGCAGCTAAGGCCAAGCTGCAGTGCCACGCCCACTCGCTTTACGGCCCCCGCCCACTTTGACATCCTTAAATGGCCAAATGGTCGATGGCGATGGCGATGAGAATGGAAAATGCCAAATGCGGAACACAGTAAAATTGAATTTTTTCGGCTTCATCCTTTGTTTGGCATGTGGTGTTTATTTTTTGGTCTCAGCTTACATGGCAAAAAGTCAGACACTGTTCAAAAATAAAGTACAGAAAAAATGTCGAAATGTACATACATTCAGACAGTAGCCACATAGGCGCAGACAGTTTTTATTTATCACCCAAGCCAACCACCGCCATGTGGGATGGGCAGGTGGTCCAGCAGGAGGAGGAGGAGGATATGCAGTCCCACTGGGTGGCAAATGGCCATCAACAACAGGCACAGAGTCAGTCAGTTAGCCAGCTGATGAGGCGATAAGGGAAAGCAGACAGCCGCAGGATGGGAAGATGCCAGCCAGGACATGAGTCCACTTTCCACCGTCCACTGTCTACCGTCCACTGTCCAGTTCAATTCGTCGTCCCCCATCGATGCGAGTGTGTCCGAAATTATATTAGCAACCACATGGCAAGCAAGCCAAGAGGGAGACAGCAACCACTCGATAAGAAGGCAGGAAGAGGGGAATCCGCAGGATGTCGTATTTATTGACGTGTTTATACGGTGCTTGTCAGCCTTGAAGCCACTTTAAATGTTAACTATCCATGGGCATTAACCGTGCATCAATCGTTTTTACACGACTTTCACTAGTTGACACCTTCGTAATCTAATAATAATTATTGAAATCGTAAAATTAGTAAAAGAGAAATATGTTAAGTGAATCGGATTCTTTTAAGGGTTACACACAGCACATAACATGCAAATTTCAAACAAAAACACAACTAATTTAGTTTTCTTTATACATATTTTAATTTTTTGTTAGTTTTTGTCT